TATTTTTTGCGCCAAGTTCTTTAATCAAATTGTGAACCAATTGTGGGTATATAGATATAGATATTGCCCGCCTGTGTATGTGTGTGTGTGTCTGTGTATCAGATATATATCTGAAGCGGTCTTTGATAAGCGGCATAATTGCCATAAACATTTTATGGCCGCCTTTCAGGGCAGCAGAGTGGGCTGGGGGCCATCTAAACGTCTTCAGCTTGAAGTGTTCCCTTTTTTTTCAGTTGTTTATCGAATTCTTCAGGCCCTGCCGAAGCCCTGTCCAATCCTAGCCTGTGTGCAGCGCTAATGGGCTCTGATTTTGAAAATCAAACAATTTTATTGTCGCCAGCGTTGGGTTTATGGAGGAAACGTTGCGCCTTTATGTGATCTGTGTGTGCGTGTTTATGCCATGGGGAGACTATTGCAATTAATAATAGTACGAGAGAGAGAGAGAGAGAGAGAGAGCGCGCGCAGCGAGTGGGAACAGGGGCTGGTTAAGTGTTGCCTTTTGGGCACATCGGCAATTCGACTCTCAGATCTTCGCTGCGTCAGCGGCTAATGCGTTGTCCAAACACAGCGCCCAAAACGCTGTTCAAATATTTACAATTACTTTACATAAACGCTGGGCCGGGACCGGGTCGGGCTGCCCCCTCTGCCTTGTTTGGGCACTCATCTGTCATATTTAAGGCACAAATCCGACTGCGGCTGCGACAGCGAGCCGCAGCTTGTTGTTGTTCTTCTTCTTCTTCTTCTTGTTTTTTCTCTTTTTTTTTTGTTTCTTTATCGGAGGCGATATGACAAACATGACAGCGAGTAAGGCCACCCGACTTCCCGCTTACCTCTCGCCCCGGGAACACGTGAAATGATAATGGACAAATAAAAATCTAGCAGGCATACGGCAGGGCCAACAACTGACAGGGCCAGGTGGGGCGCGGCAGCGTTGGGGCATAAACAAGTCAAGTCAAATAAGAGAAGGCAGATCTCGCCACATGCCGCATGCCACACACCCACCAGGCCCTCCACAGTACAGCTCTAGCACTTGCCCTCACTCCCACTTTCATATCTTTCTATTGCTGTCTCCCTCCCAACCTCACGCGCTCTCTCTCCAGCTCTTTGTTTGCTCTGTGGGCGTTACGTTCGAGTGCCGACAAAGTGCTCGTCAACGGACAATTACAAGCAAATTAATTCAACGTGCGCTGCAACACCATTACCCCATTACCCTCAGCCCTGTCCGCCTCAACTCCGCGCCACGCCATAGATAAACATCAATCGGAACACGGGAAATTCAATTGGAGAACTTGGACACTTGTTCAAGTGTTCCACGGCAAATTGGCTAAGAGTCAAGCAAAGCATATGCTAATTGGCATATTGCTGCCAAGATCATATATATAATCTATATATTTGCTGAATCTTAAGCTACCCTCTCTTGAAAACTAAGGCACCTTTAGAGCCAGCAGCTGCAGTAACGGAAGTCTTGCTTTACAAAATAGCATCGTAGACGTGTCAGCGGTGCAGATGCAACACAAAGGGCTCAAGAGGAGATACACATTGAACACTTAATTTTCATCTCAATATTGATTTCATATTTCATATGTCAACACATTATCTCAGATAAATAAATATATATTTAATATTAAATACATATATTATATATATTCATCTATGCAGCCATAGAGTTGGATAAAGAAAACGTTTTCAATTTCGTTTTTTTATTTCTTTCTTTTCTTCGCTTTGCCTTTGATAAGTTCAGTTCATGGAATGCATTTGCATCTGGCCACACAAAGCTTTTGATGGTTGCTGGTGCTTCAGTTGGACTTTTCCTTTGATAGCTGTGGCTTTATGTTGTTGCTGGTGTTGCCATCCGCTTGCATTTGAAAAGCCTTTGATCTGCTCTTTATGTGCTTCCGATTTAATTTCGTTTTATTTCGTTTGCTGCTTTCGTTTTTATTGCCCACTTGAAACATGTTCGACTTTTGTTTGAGTTTCATTTAAACAACGCACAGACACACGCACACAGAGTCATGCACACGCATCTGCACAGAGTGAGAGAGAGAGAGAGAGAGAGAGAGAGAGAGAGAGAGAGAGAGAGAGAGACTGCGATCGTAGGAGAGCAAGATAATGGAAGACAGACAGCAGGAGAGCCAGACAGACATCCATTTAGGGCATAAGAACGAACATTTACAACAGCGCCAGGCGCAGGCTGCGATAAGAAAGGCAAAGCAGGCGGCAACGCGAACCAAACGCCTCCAAAAACGCAAAGACCATGGGCAATGAGCGACTGGCAGATACTCAGCACTGAGTTTAAACACCACTGTTGAGCATTTAGAATAGCTGAATATAAATATAAATCCATATATTGACTTGTTCATAAAAATAGAAAATAAATTATTTAGCATAAGCCCAATTTCATATGTGATATTTTTTTGATTTAATAAATCTCTATATATATGAAGTTGGCCAAATAGTGTTTTTTGCCACTACTATTTTTATGAACAATGGAACTTTGTGGATTTTTATTGTTCAAGCCCTCAAGTGCACATGTCCTTAAAGTGTTAAAAAAACATCTAAATTAATAACAAAATATATTAATCTTAAAAAAACATCTAAATTAATAACAAAATATATTAATCTTAATATTATTTTCAATTTATTTTGAAAATATTGTGCTTATCGTAAAATTTGTTTGTGCAACATTTAGTGCTCTGTCGCACTACTATTTTTATGAACAAGGCTTTGTTAAGGAACTCTAAAATTCCAATTGTCTTACAGGGTATACAATGGCTGGCATGTCTCGATACGCGGCACAGTTTTATGGGTTTTGATACTCTGTCGGCGTCGCCGCCGCAGCAACAGCAACAGCAGCAGCAGCAGCAGCAGCTGCAATCAGCTGCAGCCTCTATGCTCGCCCGCTGCACTTAACGCCGCGCAGCATCCCAATGTACCAAATGACCAAAACAGAAAGCGGCGCATGGCAATGCCAGTGGCAGGGGTAGGGCATGAAATGCAAGATATACTCAAAAGAGCCCGATGAACGCCGAAACAGGCAAAAAGGTGTTAATGGACTTTGGCCAAAAGAAAGGCCCCGACCATGACCCCGACTACCGTCCGACGTCTGCCGACCCCTGCAACGTAGCGACTTTTGTCTACGCGTCGCACATTTCTCACTTCTTTCTTTCTTTCTTTTTCACTATTTCTCTTTGTGTTTGTCTCTGTCCATTCGAAAGGCGGCTTTGTGGATCGCCTCAGCCCGTCTCTAGATTTCCACTAAACGTTTGCCCCATTACCATCAGCATTATCCGACTCAACTTTTGCTGCTGCTGCTGCTGCTGCTGCTGCTGCCTCATCTTCATCATCGTCTGCTACAGCTTTAGGCACGCACTCGCCTCAACTATTTCCATGGTAAATTATGGCCAAGAATGAAGCTGACCTCAAATGCACTTACGGCCAAAAAACCAAGAAAAAAATGCTCAACTTTAGTTCCAGTTAACAATTTCTGGCTCATTTCGTCATTTTTTCTCTGTTTTTTTTCCTGTTGTTGTTTGCTCTTTGTAGTTGCCTCTTCATATAGTGTTTGCTGCTGCTGCTGCTGCTTCTTTTCATTTTTTTTTTCTTTTCTTTTATCATTTTATCTGGAACATGCAAAGGCGACGCCGACGCTGACGCCGACGTCGACGTCGACGTCACTGATAGCAGGCAGCGTTTTACATTGAAAAGCAATTAAATGTTTGCGGCTGTCGCTTCTCCAAAGTCTTTTAACTGATAACTAGGGTGTGTGTGTGTGTGTGTGTGTGTTTGCAGTCTTGTCGAGATATGCTTAAAGTAATAGAGTTCCCTTACATTAGGCCCAGCCCAGCACTAGGCGGGCGAACAAATCCAAAAGATCCTGAATGAAAAGTTTTTACCAAAGCAGTTGGGATCGCAAGCATTGCGGTCTAAGTGCTCTATTATGATTAAGATTTTAGCAAATTTATAGCTAGAATAGTGCAGGGCTTCAGGCAGCCATCGAATACACTTTGAACAATCAAACCGCTTGATAACTCTAAGTAACAATCATAATTCTTCTATATACATACATACTTTCGATATCTTCAATTGGAAATGCAAAATATTTTCATGATATAAACAAATCTTAAGGCAAATCAGGCTAACGATTCAATGGAATCTTTTAATATTTTATATAGATTTATGGACGCCTTCGAGGCATGGACTAAAGTGGAAGAGATTATAAAACAGTTCTTAAAGGCAGAAGCTCTAAATGCCCTGCCTTCATAGGGCACAGTTCAGCTGCCAAGAAACTTAGCCTTAGAAACTTAGTATAATTTCCCCAAGTCTACTCTGATCTATGTACTATATATAGTATATATATAAATATAATATCAGTGTCTTTAATGGCACAGGAGTTTCCTGTGCTGCTATGAATCGATTTTGATGGCTTCGTCTAATTGACTTTTGGGAATCTTGGCAGTCTCCGGTCTGTTTTTATTTCAATTTATAGTTTAGTGTTTTTTTGACTCTTTGTTTTGTCGTTATCTTGTGTAGATCGCGAAACGACAAAGCCAAAACGAAAAGCCACCACAAACTCTATATATTTTGTGCACACATAAAAAGTGAAGAAGAAGAGGAAACAGCTAAGAAGTGGAGGCGCTTTGATGAACTGCCGCCAGATGCCGTCAACGTCACAGCAACTGACACAACGACGGCTTTGGCTACAGCTGGAGTTGGAGCTTTAACTGGGGAGCTGTAGCTGTAGCTGGTAGCTTCAGCTCTGGCCATGTCCATATCTACAGTTACAGATCCATCTATGGCTCAGGCGTCTCAGTCTTCGTTGCCCCCGTCGCAGTCCGCTGACTTTCGCAATGGTTTGTGACTTTTGAACAATTTTTGGTTTTCGCACGTAAGCGTCAAGAATTGTTTTTATGGCCGCCACACAAAGGCAAGCGCTTATCGTCACGCAGGAATCGGGCACACAAAGCTAGCCGGCAGGGGTTTAGCGGGTGGGCGGGTCTTACCTGCAACTCAGCCTCCAGCTGATTGGTGTGACCCGCGAGATTGGGCAACGCGGTCATATTGTAGCCGAGCCCCTGGCAGGCGGACACTGCGATGCGCTGGCACTGTAATCCATTCGAGCTGCCGCCATTGGATACGCTCCCAGCAACGGCCGCCTGCGCCTGCCTGCTGCACTGCATCAGGCTGGCGAGCAGCGCCAGCAAAAGTTTAGCTGCCAGCATTACGCACTGGGTCGAACACTCGGCGTAGTTGTTGTCCCTCGTATAGCTGGCCGTACACTAGTTATGTAGTTCAGGATCAGTTGGAGGCTCACAAATCACCAATCACAAATCAGTTTGGCCTCATTGTTCACAAAATACGAATCTCTCACTCGCGAGCGCTGCTCTTATCAGATCAGCAAGTCACGTGAAAAAAAATGGGTGAGTAAATCAAGAATTTGACAATTTGCCACACACTCTATTATAATTGAATAAGCAATATCTTTCCGATTGGCCATGCACAGCGGGTGAAGCGTACGTAAATTGTCAGTTTTTAACTGCGACTGCTACACGTCCACCTTGCTCGAAGTTTCAACGTGGACTGAGCGAAGCGACGAAACGAGCTGCGGCTCGTTGGGCTCAGCCGGTCGCTGCGAGAGAGAGCGACAAACGAACTGGAGAACAGCTGAAGCTAAACTGAGAGCGCATACAAACAACAAAACGATGCGAGCATAGTAGAAGAGAGCGAGCTACAAAGAGAGCAAGCCACAGAAGCCGAGCGAGCGAGAGACCATTTGCGTGTGAGAGCGAGCGCAGCCACGACTAAGGCGATAGGCAATTTGAGTTTTTGTTCGTTTCAGGTGCATTAAATATTTGCATTGTCACAGACCAATATGTATGTAATTAACAACAACAATTATTGTCAGTATAACAGTTGTAGCTAAACGCCCTCACATTTTCTGTTTAATGCATATGCTTAACCATTTGTAATTGAAATGGGCATAGGGCCAGGAACAGCGGATGTAGAGCTATATAAAATTATTAATTCAAATTATGTAAAAACATCAACAAAGATTTTATATAGTAGTGAGAAAAAGGAAAGAAAAAAAGTTATAATAATTTTTAGACATTTATTTATAATAGTTTGTTTTATTATTTATTTTAATTATAATAAATATATGAAAAAATAAATAAATTTATAGAAATCAAATACATTATTATATCTTAAGTTTCTCTTTTAATTTGTATTTTAATTATAGTCATTAAAATATAATAAATACATTTATTAAAAATATGTATACATTATTATAAATTAAGGAATTTTTACCTACTTTGAATTAATTTAATTATATTAAAAAAATAATAAATTGATATAAATAATGACTTTTTTATTAACAGGTTTAATTACAATTAACAAAATATATTTTTATAAGTATATTTTATATTATATTTAACATTTTTTTTATTATTTAGTTTCATAAAAAAAATATTTTGCTAAATTATAACAAACAAATAAATTTATAGAAATTATATTTAATTTTTATTTTTTTTTAAATTATTATTTTAATTGTATTAAATAAAAAATAAATAAAATATGTCTGCATACAATATTATTTTATTTTATGCTTATTTTTTAATTTATTTTATTAAACTTTTTATTTGATTATTTTTTAATTATAGTAAAGAAAAAATAAATACATATATTATAATATATAAATCATTATCTATATTACTAATAATTTCTTTTCTCTCAAAATATGTAATCTCTAATCGAATCAATTAGATAATTTGAAAGTTTTATGCAGCGTTTCGAATTGAGCATCAATTTGTGGCTGAGTCTACAATGGCAGATCGATGATGGGTGATCGACTGCAAGCCTACCCACCTGTTGGCGGCAACAGTGGCAGGTGAGCCATGCAGCGCTGCGTGGCAATCAAAGCGCCTTTCAAGCGATCTTCCAGCTATGCCACATGGACAGACGCATATGAGTGTGTGTGTGTGTGTGTGTGTGTGATTGGCTCCTTGCTGTTGGGGCGAATGAGAAATTTGATCGCATACACGACAAGCTGCAACCACAGCAACAACAACAGCAACAAGAGCAACGCGAAGGAGAACAGCAACGACATCAAACAAAACTGAAAGGTGGCCCCTTGCAGCAAAAAGGTGGCGGTGGTCTGCCATGTCGCTGGCCGCGTGGGAGCGGCGCAGCGGAGGGGGTGGACCGAGGCGGGGCAGCTGGGCAGTTGGGCGGCCTCCGTTTGCAGCAGCAGCAGCAACAACGTCGGTGTCGGCAATCTTTGATGTGCGCTTTGATTTCCGGCAGCGAGATAAGATTCTTTTTTTTTGTATACATTTTTTTTACTCATCGTTGCCCCTCTTCGGTGGGGCAGGCGCGGCGCTGCAACAAATCGCAAATCAAAACGAATTGCAGCAAATTTTGCGCCAGCGACGGCGCATCAAACGCAGTTGGGCGAAGCGTAGCGAGATTTTTATCGCCGCCACAGCAAAAGGAGGCGTTGCACATGGCTGGCAACGTTTGGTGGCAGCACTTCCACAGCCACATTGCCACGGCCAATGCCAATGCCATTGCCAATGCCAATGCCGAATGCCGAATGGAGTCTTGGCATAGAAATATGCATAGAACGAAGATCGTTGATCAATTGCTTGTTGCAACACCTGTTGCATCTCGATTTGTGGCACGCTCAATTGATAGCAAATCGGCGCACACTTCCGCAGTGCCCCAGACCCGCACTAAGCCAGCCACTTTCAGCGATCTTTCAATTGTCATCAGAGCTAATACCCATGTAAGCCCCTCTCCCCTGCCGCCCCCCCTCCACGACTTAAGGCCCCGTTGAGCTGAAGAGCAATGGGCAACAATAATACGACTACTCGACAACTCTTATGTGCGGATCGCTGCTTGGGCTATATGGCCGTTGCCTCGGCATTGTTGTTTGTTTGTTGATCTTTCAAAATCCGGGCGTACGTAAGAATATATATCATCAAAGGGATCAATCTGGCTGCATGTGCCGCATGTGGCAGGGGCAACCGCTACCCTATAATAGCTAATGTAAGCACTTACTTTTGGCCTCCTCGGCTTCGTCTTTTGTTTACAACTTATGCCCTCTCCTCTCCTCTCTCTCTCTCTCTCTGTCGCCTTTCTGATCGCTCTTTTGATGTGAAGTGTTTGCATTGAGTGCCAGAGCCTGCACCCCATTACATACTACACATACAGCAGAAACGCTGCAAGGCATTTCGGTTCAGTCGAGCACTTTGCATTGTCTCCAGAACATAGAGAATACGAATGAATAAGCATACATTGCCTCAGGCCCAGCATTATTTTTTATTTTGCTCGCAAAGCTTATAACAATAACGTTTTGTATTCAACGATCTTTAAATGATATTCAACATGTATAGAAAATAATTATATACCCTGGAATTTGGAGATAAGCGACATCTTTATATGTATATAGTTCGTAAGATCTATTTTAATGAATATAGATCAAAGATATAGATATAGATATAGATATAGATATAGATATATATATATATATATATATATATAGATATAGATATAGATATAGATATAGATATAGATATAGATATAGATATAGATATAGATATAGATATAGATATAGATATAGATATAGATATAGATATAGATATAGATATAGATATAGATACATTAAGAAACCAGGGTAACTCTGCTTCGAGCATACTTGTTGTCTGTTGCCATATTTTTGCATATGTCAAAATATATATATTGATATAAAGGATTGTAATCAAATGTTACCTTATTTCAGATAGAGACAAATAGGGAAAGTCGATCATATAAAACTAAATCACTTAACTTTTTGATCTTCGGTCATGTTTCTAGTCTAAAATGAATGTTCTTTCAGTGAGCTTCAACATTTTGTGACTTCATCATGCACTACTTACATAGCTGTGATCAGTGTTCGCTGTTCCCTGCTCACCGATCACCGATCACCGGTCGCAATAAAAAAACTGCGACAAAGACGCATTGCCAGCTATTAAATCGTCGCATGCATCTTCAAAGAGTTCCCGCTCTGTCACCAGATGCCAAACATAAAGCGACTGCATTTGCAGGTTGCTTCTCTCTTCGCTCTCTCTCTCTCTCTCTCTCTCTCTGCTGGTGCCCCTCACCTGCTCCCTGACTCACTGGCTGGCTACATTTCAATCTGAAGTGGGGACTGCAACAATGTTTGCTCGCTGCTGTCAACAGGCACGTCTCTTTGCATCTGGGCATCTTGGTCCGCGACTCGTCGTTGCACTCGTCATCATCATCATCATCGTCATTATCAATGGCTTTTGGGCCTAACATGTGTGTCTCTTTGTTTTATACCCGCTCAAAATGCAGAAAGAGCATAATATTTGATCTTTGCACCAAAATATCAATATCCATCTGCTATTAGGGTGACCAAATTTTATAGTTATTCTTAATAAAAAATCAAATATTGGTGGGCTAAGTCTGTTTCAAGCTAATATTATTATATATCAATTCTTTCCTTCTAGAATATGTGTATGTGAACTGATACAATGGTATATAAATTTTAGAGTGACCAAATTTGACTGTTCATCTATCTCTTGGAAGGCTCTTCATTTGATTCGTTAGGCTTCCTTCAAATCACATATTAAAGACGGCAAATCTTTTATAGCTAGAGCTAACACTTGAGACTTAAATTGTAATTGAATATAGATTAGGGTGACCAAATATGACAGTTTGATTTCTAATGTACTTTTTCAAATTATGAATGTTTCAGCTCTCTCAGAGTGCGAATCTGGAAGATTTATTATAATATATTATATACATATATATTGTACACATATATATGGCTATAAGGATTAGGGTGACCAAATTTAAAATGAAAATTGCTGTAGAATTCTTCATGCACTTGAAAATATGTACATTTTTGATAAAGTCTAGAAATGATTGTTTTTCTTGGTGCACGGCGAGCGGGCATTATGCAGTCGGTTACAGCCGCCAGTTGCTTTCTTTGTCTTTGTCATGATTTGTTTGCTTGGCTATTTGCGCTTTTCCAATTGCCATTTGACATGGATTTCCACCGGCGTTTCTCAACACCATTTCACCAGCACAGCCGAGCGGCGAGTGCCCAGTGCCGAGAGCCTCAGTTCCATAAAGCCGCTGATGATGTTGACAATCCATGGATGAGGCATTCCCTTTCTGTAGTCGCCGGCGCCGTTTTCAACTTTTTGGTTCATATTTTCTTTTCTTTTTTTTTTGCAGAGTTGCTGTTGTTGTTGTTGTTGTTGTGCCATTAACTAGTTTTCTGGTCGGCTGAGTTCAAAAGCGCTTATTAATCTGTGGTACTTGTGTTTAGTGCTTTTAAATACGCTTTGAGTACTTTATTTTAGTATGCTTGATGTTTTACCGACGACAACGCTGCAAGTCACGATGTTTGGCTTTTGGCTCCCACTCTCCAATCCTCGCTCTATGACCGGCGAGCGGCGATCGGCGATCGGCGATGGTCGATCGGCGATCTCAGTTGCCTCATCGATCAAATCATTTGGCATCGATTCCGGCTAGCTGAACCCAAAGCCAAGCCG